TAATTTTCCTTGAAATGGGTGATGTGCTTCTTGAACTGGGTGGGTATGAAACACCACTTGGTGCTGTGCCTTAAGCAGAAAATTATTTCTGCCTCTATACACACAATATATGTACAGTAGTCTCGCTTATCTTGTGTAGCCTGTTGTCGACCTTTGCAACCCGAAAGACAGTTGCATCTGTCAAGTAGGAAAATTAGGTACCACCTTAAAGTGTGGGGAGGCTAAATTAACTAATTTATGAGGCCATAAAAAGACTCCGGCAAAGCATTCCAGCAAAAAAGCATGCAGGGAATGCGGAAGTACTTCATCAGTGTCGTAGATGGACGATGAAAGCGACAGCTCCCCTGGCGGCCAGAAAAAGTTAAATAGCCTCTGTCTATGTCTGTATATGTTGTATGTCAAAATTGGCATTGAATTTTTGCCATATATGTGTACACTGTAATCCGCTCTGAGTCCCCTGCGGGATGAGAAGGGCGGAATATAAAAAGCAGTAAATAAAATAAATAAATATCTGACATAAACGGGCTGGCAGAATGTTGGATAATAAGAAGGGATTAAGGAAAAACCTATTAAATGTCAAATTATGTTATAATTTTACAAATTAAGCACCAAAACATCATGTTTTACAACAAATTGGTAGAAAAAGCAGTTCAATACATGGTAACAAAGCTATTTTGTCACTTTAACATGGACTGCAGCTTATGTCTTAATCTCCCCGGAGTCATAAATTTGCATCTCGATGATGTCTGAAGGTGATGGTAGACTTGTCACACCCTTCTCTTGAAGTTTAGAAGAAAAAGAAATTCTCTTGAAAACCAAACAGGGGGATAAGAAAATTATACTAGAATTGAATCTTATTAGAAAGCAATTGAATATGACACAATAGGAACAAATGGCAAGGAACTTAAAATTTTTGAAGGCAAACTACTTTGCCAATGCCAATAAACCAGGGAAACTATTGGCTAGGAAATTAATGAAAAGAAAGCAACAACAACATATAACAAAGATAACTAAAGAGGGAAGATTTTTTTTTCAGAGGAGGAGATAATAAAACAATTTAGAGACTTCTATAAAAATCTATATAAAAAGGACCAGATAAAAATGGAAGATATAGTAACATATATAACAGGAACAAAGATTAGAGAAACTAAGTAAAGCACGGCAAACTTGTAAAGTGCCAAAAAGTTTGCACTGAATTAACCTAGGGCATTTCCACACAGCCATATGCCCCAGAATATCAAGGCAGAAAATTCCATGATGTCTGTTTTGAACTGGGTTATCTGAATCCCCATTGCCATATATCCCAGATAATGTGGAATTATATTCTGCTGTGTGGAAGGAGCCCCAGTAGAGAAGAGAGAGAAAGGGAGACAAGTGCTGAAGTCTCTTCTAACTTGTGTATTCATCCTTAATAAATAACTTGCTTTCCTGTTATTTCTTTCTCCCACTCTGGACATTCCGTAAATCTATAAACCCCATTTTTCTAGTTTCTAACAGACCTCACAACCTCTGAGAATGCCTGCCATAGATGCAGGTGAAACATCAGGAGAGAATGCTTCTGGAATATGGCCATACAGCCCGGAAAACTCACAACAATCTAGTGATTCTAGCCATGAAAGCCTTCAACAGTACACACACACACATCTTTTTAAACCAGTTAGGTTATGTGAATCAGCATGGTGTATTGGATTGAGTATTGATGACTCTGGGGACCAGGGTTTGAATCCCTGTCCAACCAAGAAAACCCACCATGTTGCCTTGAGCAAATCACCTTCTCTCAGCCTGAAAGATAAAATGCCTCTGAAAATCTTGCCCAGAAAACACCAGGATAAATTAGCCTTGGGCCCCTCTATTTTTTCACCCACTCAAGCCAATAACTTATTTTAGTAAGTGTGGCTGTAAATGCTGAGATTTTCTATAGTGAGATGAGGGAAAGTCTCTGCGAAAGTCCTCATCTGCTGCATCTTTTTGCACAAGCAATTTGCTGACACTTCTGCTTTTCTCACTTTTCAGGTTCCTGTCGATTCCACTTTTGGTTTTAGCATAAATCTTCATCGGGGTCAGACTCCGGACTGAAGACAAACCGCATTAGAGTCTCCTTCCTCGCTGCTGGATAAGTGAGTGTGCCTAGCTGTGGAAGGGAATATGAGAATATAGTCCAGTGGTTCTCA